CGCGCCCCCCAGCGCTGCGCCCCTGCACCTGCCCCTCAGCTCCGGGTCCTGGTCCACGTGGCGGTCCCTGAGGCGCAGGATGGTGGCCCTGACTCCAGCCCGCACCGCTTTGGAATTGGTACGACTGCTGTCCAGATGGACCACCAACCCGCCCAAGGTTCTGCGATCCGCCACGTGGATGAGCGGCCCCCTCGGCGCCCCTCTTGCTGCTCAAGCAGGCGCTGATCTCGTTGTAGTTCTGGAGGAAATCGCTCCGCAACTTGTGGCAGTCTACGGTCGCGTGTGAGCCATTGGGACCGTGGTACTGGCAGAAGTACGGCTGTGGCTGCTGGTGCTGCTGGTGCTGGTACTGCTGCTGCTGCTGCGGTGGTGGCTGCATCGACGCATGTGGTTGCTGCTGCTGCTGCTGCTGCTGCTGCTGCTGCTGCTGCTGCCCGCCGTGACCCACTGGTCTCCTCTGCCCGCCGCCCCGGCCCATGCCGGCAGCGACGAGGGCGTGCCTCGTCTCCTCTCCCCTCTCTCCAGATCTCCGTTCGTACCTCTGCTCGTGCTCAGCCGTCCTCAACGCCTCCTGCATTTGCACACTCGACAACATGGGGTGGTACAGAACACGCTCTTTAATTTTCTCGTTCTCTGGCAGAAAACCCCTAGCGATGTGCTTGCACATCGACACCTCAGCACGATTGTCTCCATACGAGACCAGTCTCATCCAAANCCTCTGCGCCAACACGTTCCATTGGTCATCTAAAGTCTGTCTCTCTTCGTTCCTACTCCGTCGGTAGTATTCTAGGAATATCTTGTAGGCCCCTTGCGGGCTCTCAGCCGCGAGCAATTGCCCTTGAATTGCTTGGGCTGTGATCTTGAGAAGCATGAAATTCCACACTTTCCTAGACTGCCTGATTCTGTCCTCTCCAAACGAACGTTTCAACCACTCCATGTTCACTTGAGTCGAAGCTACCGGAATCTCTGCCCCTCTCATCGTTTCTGACACTCCCTCGCACTCCATCCAAGATTCGAAGGCACTCGTGAACACTCTCAATGCGACTTCTAGAGATCTGTTTTTCAGGAAATCATCACTCCACACTGGAACCTCGACTTTCTCTCTCTGCTTAAGTTCTACAGTCTGTGATGTAGACGTGCCTGAATGGGCACGGTGCCCCTGGTCCTGGGAGTTTGCCGTGAGAGCATGCTTGAGGAGGTCGACCAGCTGACGCACAGAATCCTGCTGAT